CACTACCTGCCTCAGTAGAAAACAGGTTTGTTCTAGTTGGCCCAAATGAACCCACTTAGACCACCAATCAACAATCCATATTTTGAACAATCTTATTAAGATCACAAATATATGGAAGCTGTGTACACATAGGTGAATATTTACGATATTCCCCTAGGGAGCAAAACACATAAGATCTTTTCTCCTAAAATAAACTTCAGCCCCAGAATCCCATGTTTCTTCCAAGTAACTATAGCCAGCTTCTTATTTGTATTCCTACTACAAGAAATCTTCCTAGTGGGATAATCCTCAAAAGAGGTGATAAATGAGGATTAAGAATCACCAGCCCCTAGGGGCACCTGGGTGGCTCACTCGGTTGAGCATCTAATTCTTGATTTCGGCTAAAGTCATAATCTCGGGGTTGTGAGATCAGGCTGTGTGCTGGGTGTGAAGCCTGCTTAAGGTTCTCTCTCTCTCTGCCTCTACCCCTCCCCACTTGCACGCTCTTTTTCTCAAAAAAAAAATCACCAGCCCCTAAATCAGTCTGCAAAAAAATTGACTTCAATAGGTACAGTTTACTTACAATCTCTATATTACTAATTACCATTATCTAAAACGTTCCAACTCAGACTTTTGTAACTGCATCCATTACAGGTTTCAAAAACAAGTGGGGAAAAATACGTAAGTAGAAGACAAGTGATAAGATTTCAAGAAAACTTGGGGTGCTAGGTGCTCAGTTGGTTAAGCATCTGCCTTCGACTGAGGTCCTGATCCCAGGGTCCTGGGATCAAGCCCCGCATCGGGCTCCCTGATCAGTGGGGAGCCTACTTCTCCCTCTGTGTGTGCTCTCTCATCTCTCTCTCAAATAAATAAATAAAATCTTTAAAAAAAGCAGATTTCAAGAAAACTTATTATCTTATTATAAAATGAGGAACTATCATTTGGTCTGCATTTGCCTATGCAAATATCTTCAAGGAATTTTCTAAAGTAGTCAGTATAACCTGGAATTCTAAAGAAACTTCCAAATAGCATCCCAAAAGGAAGCCCAGATAGATCCTGATATTGAGCACTGGGTTGCCTAAAATGTCAGGCCCTGAAGGCAATGAGGTCTGCTAATTTGACATCACATTTGAATAGGTATTCTGATGATATATGAATAGAGTTTAAAAGACTATATAAAAAAGGCCACTGATTAAAAAGCTGAGGCTCAATAATCCAAGCCACAAAAGGAACTTCAAAACCACCTGTGTTATGACAGGTAAAGACTCTGACTTGTCAACACCTTGGGAAATGGAAGATCTCAGAATCCCATAGAACAAAAGCTCAATGAAAGCAGGTGCTATCTAGCAGACCACCAGATCTCCAGCATGTGTCTGGCACACAGTAGGTACACAACACATTTTTCTCGAATTAATGAGTACTGTTGAATAAATAAACTGTGCAGGAATACAGTTTCCAAAAATCAAAGGTCAAAGAGAGACCCATTTTCAGTAAAGATCTCAACATGTAATATTATCTTTCCCAGATTTAAAAAATGTTGTTATGCCTCAAATATCACTAAAATTATCTTTTGTTTCTCAAGAACAAAATGCACCAAATGCAGAGTAAATGGGCCTTGATTCAGATGAACCTCACAGAAGAGTATTTTAAAAGGAGAAAACCGAGATGAAGTGTTAGCACACTACAGCACACTGACCAGCAAAAATCTGATACGCATATTTGATAACAACCCTCTCCCAAACTGTCGGTTTCCTCTGGTTTCTATTTCAGCTAGGTAAGCATTTTTTCAGTCTATCGATTTTTAGAAGTTTTCCCTTTCACATCGCCAAGAACGTCCATATTTCCCTTGTTTTCTCTTCGTTCCCCCCAAACTTTCCCACAATTCACCTGTACGGCTTTTTATTCAAATTCCTTTTGTTTGGAAAATCCTTCCCTTTCCTCCCACCCCAGGCTGAAAGCATCCTCCCTAACTATGGTCCCTTCTGATTTTATGGAAGTTTCATTTCCTTGCAGCAGAGGCCTGGTGTATTTCCTGAAGCCAAATTCATTGTGCTCCATAAAAGTGAAAATAAAATCATTCAGACCACAGTCAGGAACAGAATCATCTACCAATCTGTGCCCTCTCTGCCAGTTTCTCATCTAAATATGCCTTTCTGGTGGTGACCTCGTGTTCCCTTCATCCTGGCACCTGTATTTTCCAACCCACAGAATTTCCCCCCCTCCAAGTCCCTAAATTTTAAATCCTATGTAACCTAAAATTTTCTGCTGTAAATTCTGTTTCCCAAAGCTAAACAACCTTGATAAGGGGAAGGAACTCTGGATAGAAATTAGCTATTTTCGATAATCACACTTTACCCTGTTTAACGCTTTGGAAGTTATTTCACCAGGGAGTGAATAGATGGAAGAAGAAAGAAATGCCCTTTACGAATACTTCATAAAGACTAGTTCATTTGATCTTTGTAACAACCTTGGAAGGCAGGCAGAGCAGGCTTTTATTACCCTCTTTACAACATAAAACTACACATCAAAAAGTTAACCTCTTTGTGACTTGCCCAACCAACGTCACAGACTAGCAAGTGTCTGCCCAAAACTGTATTAATGTCTTGCCTCTTCCAACTCAAAGGCTGTCTACTATATACTCTCTCTGTATGTTTCTATCCTACAGCCAAGGAGCTCAGTATTTCAGAGGGAGGACTGCCCTCTGACTTTTGGGACACCATTTCCCTTCGGCTAACAAGTAGAAAAGCCACCTTCAGTTTTCCCAATAGAAAACAATGCTCTTTTCTTCCATTTGCCACCATTAACAACTACTTCTTTCCAAAATAATTTCCAACAGTTCCTGTTTTAAAGGGACTTACTCATAAGGGGCTAATAATCCAGAAAGTCTGCATCAGCATATGATTTTCTCAATAAAGTTCAGGGCTGATGCAACATTTCCCAGTCTCCAATTCTACAGCTAAAATGACAAGAACATAGAACAGTCAAAAATTGCGCAAGACAATGCTACAGTGTTTTTTACTCATTCACATCTGCCTCTATGGGTCTCCTGTGAGTCACTGTCTTTTGTGATCAGTCATCATTATAGGGACTCCCATTCTCTACTCTAAATTATGTTATTTCTTAAAGAAAAGCTCTGCAGTAAAAATAGAATCCTATTACATCTTTCACTACCTTGCTGAAGCGCTGACCCCCTTAACTTAGCACCTCAGATGCCACGTTGTTCCAATTCTCACCACTACTGTTTTACACAAACAAAAAAGAGGCAAAGTAAGGTTGCAATTTATTTGTTTATATTCATTCAACAAACACATATGAAATCCTATCAGACACCAGGGACTGGGACCCAAAATTAAGCACCTGTCCTCCTCTCATAACCTGGGGGAGAGGAAAACTAAAGAAATAATTTCAGAATAAACTGATCTAGGTTAAGGTGGAAGTGAGCATGGACTTGGGGCAGTGGCCATCATGGAATGCTTCCTTCATAAACTGATCTAGGTTAAGGTGGAAGTGAGCACAGGGCATGGGGCAGTGGCCATCATGGAATGCTTCCTGGAAGAAGTGATCTGTGAGCATTTATAAGCATCTCTCTACCTTCAGCAAAAAATAAACCTAAAAGACTCAACCCCTCTCCCCCCGAATTTGCCAAAAGTCAAGTCAAAAATCTAGTTTAATAGCAGAATTTATTCTTGAACACCTGCCCTAAATTTCAACCTTTAACCCATACTCCCATAGGTATACATTACAGAGGGTAAAGATTCTGTCCAACACAGTGCCTTCTCCCAAGTCTGTAAAACAGGATTAAAGATAAACGAAAACATAAAATACATTTTTAAAAAATATAATCATTTTCCTAACTGGAAATGAACACTTTGAACAATCCAAACCCTACAAGGCACGGCTGTCGGAAGAGGAAACTGAGGTTCAAAAAAGTCCCACTTTAATACAACAGAATAAAAGATCTCTTTGAAGTCACCAGAACAGCTTGAACAAAAAGAGAAACAGAAGGCTATTGTGGGGCTTTAGCCTCCAGATGATGAACCCTAAACACACTGCAATGGTAAACAAACAAGCCTCTGAGCCAAAATCTGATTTGGTGACCTGACAAAACATTACAATTTAAGGAATCTCTCTCTCCCCATTCATTATTTCCCAAAGTCCCCCTGGCTGGCAGCTCCTGTTTTTCTGCTGGTTCCTAGGTTTATTGCTTGTAAATTACAATGCACAGTATGCTTTTCAAAAAAAAAAAGGTACAGGCAAATGAAAACAACCTTGGTTTTAAAGACCCATAAAAGACAGTATAGGTAACAGAAATGAATTCTGCCTGTGTTTACTATGAGGACCTATTACTCTTTTATGCTACTCCAGTGGATTTTAAACTCAAATGAATGCTACCACTGCCCACTAAAGAACAGGTTAGAGGAGGGAAGGAGCACACTCACATACCTGCCTCAGCAGGACCCCAGACTGCCTCCCTCACCATTTCCCTGCGCCTAGGCCAAGCAGCTGCCCAGCAACTGGGGCTGCAGACCCCAGCCGCTTACACTCTGCCATCCCAACAAGTAGGCTCTAAAGTCACACTTCCATTTGGCCCGGCACATCCACATCGCCGCCACTCAGGTCCCCAGCGGAAGGGAGTAAAACTCAGCGGCCCCAAAGAGAAGGCTGGCGGCGGGCAGAAGCGGAGGAGAGGGTCCCAAGCGCTCCCTTTACTCCGCCTGGCCAAGGTGGGCCCGGGAATCCAACACCCCCTACAACTCGGAGCCGCACCGCCGAGCCCCTCCTCCAGCTTGGCCCACGGGGCTGCGATCCCCACCCCCGGCCCTTGCAGACCTGAGTTCACCTGGGCCCCGGGGCCCCTGTCCCAGAGCCACGGCCACCGCACTACCCTCCCGGCCTGGGCCGCCGACCCCCGGCCCCGCTCCCCGCCCCGGCGACCCAGCCCGGCCAGCGCCGGGCCGCCCGAAGCCCTCTCGCGGCCCGGGGCCGCCCCGCGCCGCCCGCCCAAGCGGCGGGCCGCGCACCGTGTGGGACTGCAGGCTCTGGCTCGCCTCGATGGCTGCTGTCAGCGGCACCGTGTCGTCCAGCAGCACCTTGCCGGCCGGCGGCTTCTCCATGAAGGCCATCCCCGGACGCCCGTCCGCCACCGCCTCGACACCAGGGGCAGGAACCCGGGGCGCCGACTCCCGCCGCCGCCCGGCTCCGCCGCCGCCGCCGCCGCTGTCAACACGCGCCGCCCCACACGCCGCCGCCACCCGCCGCGCCCGCAGGGTCCTAGCGCCGGCTTCCCCGCCGCCGTCGCTGTCAATACTGGCCGCCCTTCCCGCTGCCGCCTCCCGCGGGGTCCTAGCGCCACACTGCCGCGTTCGCCGCTGCCCCGGACCCGCGTTTCCAAGCTCCTCGCAGCCGCCCGCAGGCCCGGTACCCTCAGCATCCAGCCTCAGACCCGGGACATTGCACCCTAAGCCACCACGTCCAGAGAGCCTCAGATCCGAAGACATGGCGTCCTGAGCCCTGCGATCCAGGAACCCTCAGGCCTAAAGATTACCAAACCAAGCCTTGCGATGTTGGGCTTTTCACTTTCGGCCGGGACTGCCAGACTTGAGACTTTTACAGCTGGACCTTTCCCACCCAGGCCTCCCGGGCCCAAGGACCCTAAGACCCAGAAAAGGGACCTTCAAGATGAGACCCTCAGTCCGACCCCTGCAGACCCAGAAACTTTCTAAAACCAGCCCGTAAGATTCAGGTTTTTCTGAACCCTTAATCCTGGCTTTTCAGACCCAAGAATCTAAGAGCTGGGTCCTCAGAATTGAACCCCACAGCTGGAGCCTTTGGACTCCAGGACCCTCAGACCCAAGCTCTTGGAACTGGGGATCCTAAAAACTGGGCCTCAGTCCAGGACTCCAACCTCCACCCTTGGCCCCAGCCACAAGGCCTTGTCAAAAAGAAAACCATTGGGGCGCCTGGGTGGCTCAGTCCTTAAGCGACTGCCTTCGGCTCAGGTCCTGATGCCGGATCGAGCCCGGCATCGGGCTCCCTGCTCGGCGGGAAGCCTGCTTCTCCCTCTCCCACTCCCCCTGCTTGTGTTCCCTCTCTCGCTGTGTCTCTCTCTGTCAAATAAATAAAATCTTTAAAAAATAAAATAAATTAAAAAAAAAAAAAAAAAAGAAAATCATAGACCCAAAATGGAGTCACTTATCCTATGTTACATCGCCAAACCAGGGCTTACAACGAACCTAACTATGGTTTCAACCTCCCCCAGAAATGTAGTTTTAACCGTCAGTCAGGAATATTCAGTGAGGTAATCTGACACGCAGACTATCCATCCCTCCTCCCCCGCCAAAGGAAGATGAGGTAATTTGCATGGTAAGACCCCCTGCTCTTTCCCCTAAGGGAAAGTGACCTTGCCTGAAATAATCCTTTCTTTTGCTAGTAACTTCCTTGCCCCACCCTCCTTCCTATAAAAACCTCCCTTTTTGTACAGTTCCTTAGAGCTCCTTTCTACTTGCTAGATGGGTTGCTACCTGAATTACGAATCACTTAATAATGCCTGTTAGATCTTCAAATTTACTTGGCTGAATTCTTTTAACAGCCTTCACCCCAAGAACCCTCAACTAAGATCCTGCAGACTTGGGGTCTTCAGTCCCACTGTACTGGCTCCAAGAACCTCAAACCCAGAGGTTTGAAATAACTTCCCAGCTCCACATTTGCCCCCCCAGTCTTTCTGAAACCAAGGTCACAATTCTGGCACTCCCCCTGCCACCCAGTTCTCTCCACCCCACCACACCCCTGCAATCCCACCCACACTGCTCTTTCCAAGGGCTGCATCCCAAGACAGTGGAGTTAGACTTTGAATCAGATGACCAGGATCTCTGGGGCTCTGGTATTTACCAGCTGTATGACCTTGAATAAGTTACCCAACCTCTCTAAGCCCCAGCTCCCTATCTGCGAAATAGAGATACTACTACCTGTTTGGAAAGGTTAGGATGTGGAATGCAGTAGGACAGGAAGGGGCTTGGTACATTTTGCTCAATAATATTAGTTAACTTCCTTCCCCTACAATTCACAGAATGGAGAGTTTCTAACTCTTAAATTTGTCTCCCCTAAATTTCTACACATTTCAGACAAGAGAGTAAAGTTTCTTGGGAACAACCCCCACCCCCCCCCGACCCATGCCACCACCACTATTAGACATGATGCAAAGGCCTAGACAGTATCTAAAGAATACCCTCTCTAGGGGTACCTGGGTGGCTCAGTCGTTAAGCGTCTGCCTTCGGCTCAGGTCATGATCCCGGGGTCCTGGGATCGAGTCCCGCATCGGGCTCCCTGCTCCGTGGGAAGCCTGCTTCTCCCTCTCCCACTCCCCGTGCTTGTGTTCCTTCTCTGTCAAATAAATAAAAAATAAAAAAAAAATTTTTTAAGATTTTATTTATTTATTTGACAGAGAGAGAGAGAGAGAGCGACAGCAGGAACACAAGCAGGGGGAGTGGGAGAGGGAGAAGCAGGCTTCCACGGAGCAGGGAGCCCGATGCGGGGCTTGATCCCAGGACCCCGGGATCATGACCTGAGCCGAAGGCAGATGCTTAATGACTGAACCACCCAGGTGCCCCAATAAAATCCTTAAAAAAAAAAAAAAAAAAAGAATACCCTCTCCAAATCTTGAGTTTATAGCAATTGTTGAGCGAGTAGCCACGACAGACTGACATGTGAAAAAGGAAACAAGGAACTTCATGATTCAGTCCTATAATCAGAATTCTTCCTGCATTCCATTTTTTGTCTCCACATGTTTAAAAGCAGCAGTCTATTAAAATGCAACCATATATCATTTAGGGATGATTCAACTTCTTACTTCTTTTTTTGTTTTTATTTTTTATTTTCATTTTTTTGAGGGGGAGGGGCAGGAACAGAGGGAGAAGAAGAGAGAGAATCTTAAGCAGGCTCCACGCCCAGCGCAAAACCTGCAATGGGGCCCAGTCTAACAAACCTGAGATCGTGACCTGAGCCAAAATCAAGAGTCAGATGCTCAACCAACCGAGCCACCCAGAGCTTTTTACTTCCATTTCTTTAAAGTAAATGGATTATTTCATTGCCAGAATCACAGAAACCAAAATTCTGCTTTAATCATTATTCCTGTCATGATGTGGACTGACCAAGATAAGGGTCTTCTCAAATACTGCTGCTGGTGGGAGTATAAATTGGTCCACCTTTCTGAAAGGCATTTATTCATTCAACAATAATTTACAGAGTACTTACCATGTAATAGGTACTTTACCTGGTGCTAGGATCTGAGATTTGACAATACATATCAAGGGCTTTGAAAATGTTCTCACCCATCATCAAGGGTGATCCTTATCAAAGGATATTTAATGATGTTGGGAAATGCTCTTGATGTAATAGTGAGTGAAAAAAAAGCAATATATGCATTTGTATGATCCCAAGTTTTAAAAATGTTTATATAGAAAAACAAGGGAAAACACCAAAATATTAATTGAGGGTCTCTAGGAAGGACTGCCTTCCATTTTTATGCTTTTCTGTATTTTCCAAAATGTCTCTAATGAAGATATTTTACTTGTATGATTATGAAAAAATAACATGTAATCGAGTGCAAAATTTGTAAAATAACAACCTTATCTAAGTTTTCCTCACTGGGGAAAAGAAACTGAAAGCAAGAAATCAGATATATGATGGAATGAAGCCAGAGACTAACTCTCAATCAGACTTTCCCTTTCTCTGGAAATTCTTGCCTGAAGTAAGCCCCTCAGAATAAATGCTACGGTGAGCCTTATAATTTCATTTTCTTTTTTTTTTTTAAGATTTTATTTATTTATTCATTTGGCAGAGAGAGACACAGCGAGAGAGGGAACACAAGCAGGGGGAGTGTGAGAGGGAGAAGCAGGCTTCCCGCAGAGCAGGGAGCCCAATTCGGGGCTCGATCCCAAGACCCTGGGATTTGCTATCATGTCACAGAGGAATTTTGCCCAGGGTTTATAAGAAGGTCATATACAACTAAAAGCCACCCTAGAAATTGATTGTGGCCTAGAAATTGACTGTTAGTGGGGCCTATTAATCCTGTTCTATTTATATAGTGTCAACATCATTCTTGGGTTCTTTTAGGATTTTGAACTTAAATGGTTTCTTGGAGTTGATTTTACTTCAACCCAACATTTCTCTGAAGATGTTGAGAATTCTTATCTCTGCTGTGTTTGTAATCCAAATGAAGGCAAGCCAAGAACAAAGAAAGTGAAACATTTGGGACCCCAGAGATACTGAAGTGCAACCTAAGAGTAACTTCACAGCACTCCCAGTCTGCTCAGATAGAGCCAGTTAATAAATTATGCCAACACATGAGGCATTCAGAGGGGCACAGCTGCTCAGAGTGACAGTCAACCCTTGCTAGAGTTATGTTTTAATATAAAAACTTAATAGATATAATTTAATAACAATTTTCTTTGGGAGTAAATTGGTCTCTGAATCATACTCAAAGAAGATAAAAGAAAAATGACTAATAATTCAGCACCAAATGAAGACCTGTGGTTACCTAAGAGGTACCAGTGTGCATGTAGCAATTTCTTCTTTTTCTAGATGAATACGCAAATCAGGTCCACCAGATGAATGGAGGCTGTGGTGAGGCTTTCTTCCTGCCGCTACTCAAGATTTGCTGCTCAGAATAAATGAGCGGCATCTCACCAGTATGGAAATGTTTCTAATAGAATATAAAAATCTGTTAAGCAATTTTCCAGTACATTAGGCTGAAATTGCTTAAGATGGGTCTTTCTGTAGCAATCAAACATGACATAAATTGCAGTCTTAGAATGCCCCTATGTGGAAAGTGCTAGTACAATTTGGCCTGCTATTTTAGTCAGTACTTTTGTACTCACTTCCACCTGTGACCTAGTACAATCAAGGCTTCCTCTCAACTATCCCAGAGAGAAGTTCCTAATTTGAGGGTCACCCCTGCTTTCATCAGAAGAGCCACATTCTTTTTGGCATCTCTTACAGGGCTCAACATGAAAACAACCATCAGCCAGTTTCCCTTAGAGCCAGCTTTCACAAAGCAAGAGTGGCTGCAGCATCTCTGAGTAAAAGTAAGAAGTTACCATTGACAGAGAAGTATCCCTTCTTGCCTACTTCTCTAGTCCAACCTTTTATTGATTTATGGAGATCAAAGAAGACCATGGCACTCAGGGACCATTTAAAAAATGAAAATGCTCATATTGAGAAGCTACTTTTGAATTACACAGTATCAGTGACCAGCCAGGCCTGGCTGGTCCCCACCATACTTGGCCTACACATAACTTGTCACCTTTAGAATAACCCTTTTGGTAATTCTGCTCTAAAGACAAGTAATCACTGAGAAAAAGGGTAGGTGATGGTTACCTACATCAACTAATAATATATAGGAAAATGCTGCAACTGTAGCAGGAAGTAAGATCTAGCACATTCTGAATATAAAGAAAATTCTATAAAATGGTGGTTCTGAATACTTTAATGCCACATAACGGGATACTATTACAGAAACTGACAGTGCTCCAGTAATGGGAACATTGTAAGACCCCCAGGGAGATAGAGAAAAGAAATACTTTGGAGCCAGGCAGGTCCCCTTGGCAGAGAGAGACACAGCGAGAGAGGGAACACAAGCAGGGGGAGTGTGAGAGGGAGAAGCAGGCTTCCCAATGAGCAAGGAGCCCAATTTGGGGCTCGATCCCAAGACCCTGGGATTTGCTATCATGTCACAGAGGAATTTTGCCCAGGGTTTATAAGAAGGTCATATACAACTAAAAGCCACCCTAGAAATTGATTGTGGCCTAGAAATGGCACACAGCATCAGTCTATTTCCTTGCCTATAAAATGGGACATTAACTTTAATTCACAACGTTCTCAAAGATTGGAGTGAATGTAGAAAACTGGCTCATTGGGGCGCCTGGCTGGCTCAGTTGGTGGAGCATGTGACTCTTGATCTTGGGGTTATAAGTTTGAGCCCCACACTGGGTGTAGAGTACTTAAAAATAAAATCTTAGGATCGCTGGGGTGGCTCAGTCATGAGGACCCATGAGGGTCCTGGGATCCAGCCCTGCATCGGGCTCTCTGCTCAGCGGGAAGCCTGCTTCTCCCTCTTCCTGCCACTCTGCCTACTTGTGCTGTCAAATAAATAAAATTTAAAAAATAAATAAAATCTTCAATTAAAAAAAAAGAAAATGGGGTGCCTAGATGGCTCAGTTGGTTAAGTGTCTGACTCTTGGTTTCCGCTTCAGCTCAGGTCATGATCTCAGGATTATGAGATCAAGCCCTGCATCAGGCTCTGTGCTCAGTGCACAGCCTGTTTGAGATTTTCTCTCCCTCTGCCCCTCCCCGACTCGCACTCTCTCTCAAAAATAAAATCTTTTAAAAAAGGGGGGGATTGGCTCATAGACAGTGCAAAAATGGTAGCTACTAGTATTAATAATCACATTACACTCCACTTATGGACCCCCACTTCAAGAGTGCTACTAGTCCCAGAGAATGAGTTCTACAGGAAGAGGCAGTCTTGGCTCTGAGTTTATATTTTGTGCTCCAAGTTTGTTTTTCCAATGTTGTATCAAAGTTTTAGCTTGTGTAGCCTTCCCCTATGAATAAGTCTTCTTCATGTGCATCTGAGCCCCCAGAGCAGCCCCTTCTGAAACTCAGGAGGGCATCCTTGCTTCTCATGTTGATTTTAGTATTTTCATCTCACCATCTGACTAGGGTATGGTGGTACAATATTCAACAGTTTAAAAATATTATTTATACACATCATTGCCCTCTAGTGCCCAGAATGATTTTTTTCCTAGTAATCTGCTTATCTCTTTGATGTTTAAAAAAAAAAAAAAATCTAGTTACTGATCCACCAGGAGGAAAAACCTTTTCCCGGGAAATGGGGGTTGATCCCACCAATGACACTTGATCTATCTTCCTGATCAAAGCATCTAGTTGTAATCAGAACCACCATCTAAAGCCACAGAGCAGAGATGGATGTTCTGTTATAGATTATCTTAAAAGTGTTGGCTGTGTTGGGATGACCAGTACAAACGCATTAGGCGCATTTCCTCTTCAGTATCCTTTTTTTTTCAATACTGATTTTCAATATCCCTCAACTCTTAAGAACTTGGCCTCCACAGGGTTCCTTATACTTTTTATTTATAAATCTTTACAATAAGCATATATTATTTGTAAAGGGGAGAATCCACAGTGTTTTCAAGAGAGGGAGAAAATAATCTGGATTACTAAAATAGAAATTTTGCATTCCAATTCTATTCCAGGTTTAGATTGATTGACATCCTGAAAAATGAAGTCTATTACCTCTTTTAATTGTGGGCTAGTTTGCTTTAAACTCAGGAAAACCTCTAACCTCATTCACAGGGGAGAATGGATGACCGGTTGGACTTCGTGCTTAGCTATTTGTATCTAGCATCTCCAACAGTCCTGTGTGGTAGGTGTTGTTATCCCTGTTGTATACCTGAGATTGAGAGAGTTTACATAAATGAGTCCAAACGTGCACATAAGCCCTTCTCCAATCACAGGAAAGCCATGTGAAAAGCAAATGCCACTGAAGATGGAACAAGGTGCCACTGTGGTGTAAACAGTAACAAATTACAATAAACTCTGACTCAGAAACTGCTGAAGGACAGGATCTAAGTACCCTGACTGGTAGAAGGTAGGTGTTCAAAGATGACCTGAATTCTGTTGTTGCCTTCAGTAATTAAAGGCTAGTTATAAATTCAGTGACAAACTTACTCTGCACAGACAGAGGCAGGCTTCTGTTATTCAAATGCAAATCTGACTAGATGTGAAATCCTAAAAGAACCTTTAGCTAAGTAACTTTCTTGGTATTTCTTCAGTTTTAAAAATCTAGACAGAGGAGGAATATACTCAGGTCTGTGTGAAGCATAAAGCCAAATTGGACAGTGGACCTTTGGACACCCCTCTACCTGCGACCCTCCCCCAACCTGGGCTTCTAGGTGTACAGGCCATCCCTCGGTGAAGAGCAGCGTTCCTTTTTCCTCAGAGGCTCTTCAAGAACAGTACCACTGGCACTTGAATGTGCATCTTTAAACACATTGCAGGACTGGGGAGTTTCTGGGACCATAACTTTAACCCAGCCTTCCATAACAGTCTTTTTACTTTCTCTTACAAAACATGACACTGCAATAACAGCAATGAACCGCTTTAGCCTTTTCACCTCTGCGGAAGCTACAACAACTTCTCCAGCATATAAAGGGGCTGGAAAGCTAATTTCCTGTGAAAGTAATACACAGCCTGGCCCTGGCATTTTAGTTCCCAGGAGAGCCGAAATAAGTCCATTGACCAAAACTCCATGCACAACTGTCTTTCCAAACTTGGTGTTTTTTGCAAAATCTTCATTTAAATGCAAAGGATTGACATCCCCCGTTAATTCTGAGAAGGCAGCCACGTCCCTCTGTGTGAAGGCCCTGCTGAGTTCAGCGCGGTCTCCAACTCTGGTGTGCATCTGCTCACTGTGCTGCCTGCTCACCACTGGCTGGCTCAGGAGGATTCTACTCTGAAGCCCACCCGACCACAGATGATGGCGGGAAATTATGGGGAACATCTTCTGCAATCAGAGCTTTTAGACTGCTTCAGTCTTCAGACAGCATATTGTCACCAAAACATGCTTTTGAGAGCAGAAGGATGTTTCTGCAATTGAAGACTGTTCAATCCAATACTAGTTCCCTGCTATTCCCAGATAAGGCAAGGAGAAATGGAGAAACCTGTAAGAGAAAGAAAACAGTTAAAGAAATCTGGGGAGAAGACTGCACTGAAACACAGGGTGTGTGGAAACATGCCTAGTTTTCTCGGGTAAGCGAAGCTGATGCAATGGCATCTTAAAGAGCATCCTTAGAGGTAGCCTCAGATACACAAGTGATCACAGGAGGTTTAGAAAGAGTGTTCTAATATTTAAGGCACCAGGCATTAAGCAACAAATGAAAAGTTAAGACTTTTCCACAAGAGTTCCAAGTTTCATCCCTAAACATCTCCCATACAATCTAAAATCTAAGTGCTTTCTCTCACATTTCCAGAAGCAATGTAGTCCTTATTCCTCCCTACTGCCCCCAGTGGATAGTGTTAACCACACTAGATTTATGCAAGCAAAAAATGGGACATGTACTAAAAAGCAGTTTGAGGGGTACCTGGGTGGCTCAGTCGGTTGGGTGTCTGACTCTTGATTTTGGCTCAGGTCATAACCTTGGGGTCATGGGATTGAGTCCTGTGTTGGGCTCCTTGCTCAGCATGGAGTCTGCTTGAGATTCTTTCCCTCTCCTCTCCCTCAGCCCCTCCCCCCGCCCCGAACACTCGCTCGCTCCCTCTCATAAATAAATCTTAAAAAAAAAAAAAAAAAAAAGAAAAAGCTGCTTGACCCCTACTCAGCCTTGTTTGGAATATGTGAAGGAACGGTCTTTACCTGAATCACTCTGAAGGCACATTTCTTGCCTTTATAGGATCCTAACAGAGTCAAAGAGCTCCACAATTTGACAAGACCACTGTAGAGAGATCAAGAATGAATGCATAAAGATTTGTCTCTGTGACATCTCCCTAGTACTTTTGTGATGGGCCAGATAGTTAAATTAGGTCCAGAAAACCTAATTTAAATGAGAAAACTTGAGTAGATGTGCTGCCAAAGAGAGCACTAAATGAGAAAACTTTAAAAGTAAAAGCACATTATGTCATAGCAGAGAATAAAATGCACCTCAATTAGGAATGTTTCTAAAATACACATTTTTGAGTTTGCAACCATGGCCACCAATTGGGAAACACTACAGCTGTAAGCAAATCATGAGTTTTGCTCTGTATAGTCTAAGCTCCTGGTGGATAAAAGGTCGTATCTTTCCCAGTTTAAACTTCCAAAAACTACTCAGAGCTCACAATGCCAAGCCCCTTCTTAGAGAAGAGCATTTTTGCTCTATTTCTCCAACCACCTCTCTGCTGTTATACTACAAAGGGGCCTCTGTCGTACCTGCTACATATCCTCAAGATGGCTGACAGGGTCTTCTCTTCGTAAGTTAGGATGTCCAAGGGTAATGCTGCATCAACCTAGGTATGGAAAAATACTATTAGCAGACTATTATTATCACTATTCTTTTTTCTTTTTATTTTCTTTTTATTTATTTATTTTTAAAGATTTTATTTATTTGACAGAGAGACACAGCGAGAGAGGGAACACAAGCAGGGGGAGTGGGAGAGGGAGAAGCAGGCTTCCCGCCGAGCAGGGAGCCCGATGCGGGGCTCGATCCCAGGACCTTGGATCATGACCTGAGCCGAAGGCAGACGCTTAACGACTGAGCCACCCAGGCGCCCCTATTCTTTTTTTTTTTTTTTAAAGTAATCTCTACACCCAACGTGGGGCCCGAACTCACAACCCTGAGATCAAGAGTTGCATGCTCCAATGACTGAGGCAACAGGGTGCCCCTATCAGGACTATCCTTTTTTTTAAGATTTTATTTATTTGAGAGAGAGCAAGCTAGAGAGAGAGAGAGAGAGAGAGAGAGTGCACAAGCAGGGGGAGGGGCAGAGGGAGAAGCAGACTCCCTGCTGAGCAGGGAGCCCAACACAGGGCTCCATCCCCAGATTCTGGGATCATGACCCAAGCTGAAGGCAGACGCTTAACCAACTGAGCCACCCAGGCACCCCTATCATCACTATTCTTAAAGTCTAATAACTAATCGTGTCAACTGCTTTTCTCCTCCAAAAAAGCAGTATTTTATTTAGTGGTGCTGTAGTACTGGGACTGCTTATTTACTGTCTAGAATGTTCTTCCTGTAACTCTTCATATTGCTAATGACTCTTCATCCTTCAAGTCTTTGTTTAAATTGTTCCATCCCTGGGGGCGCCTGGCTGGCTCAGTTAGTAGAGCAAGAGACTTTCGATCTCAGGGTTAAAAAAGAAAAAGTTCCATCCCTGATCCCCAAAATTAAGCTCAATTGCTTTCTATGCTGTTTCACATATAGAAACCATACACTTCCTCTTTCATAATACCCATCATTCTGGAACCAGGTTTTATACCCGACGGAGAAGGTACACACTTTTTTCTTAAACTTTTTATTTTGAAAAATTAGAATCACAGGAGGTTACAATGAAATTTACAAGAAGGTTCTATGCACCCTTCATGAAGCCTCCCCCAGTAATACAATATCAAAACCAAAAACCTAAAATTGATAAACCAGTTTATTCAGATTTTACCAGTTATATACGTACTCCTATTTGTCCGTGTGTGCGCGTGCGTGTGGTGTGTGTGTGCATACTTCGATGCAATCTTACCACATAGGTAGTTTCATGCAACCACTACCATCATCAAGATAGAATTACACCATCGCCACAGGGCGCTCTCCTCCTCCCAATCCCTAACCACGAACCTTTCTCCAGATTATATAATTACATTATTTCAGGAGCATGATACAAATGGGATTACCCAAAATGTTACCTTTTGGGATTAGCTTTTTCACTTAGCATAATTCTCTGGAGATTCAGTTAAGTTTTTATATGTATCTATAGTTTGTTCCTTTTTATTATTGACTATATGCTATGGTATCAATATATCATGAATGTTTAAGTACTCACTCACTGAAGGACATCTGGTTGATTTCTGCTTTTGAGCTCTTACAAATAAAGCTGCTATGAACACTCACATACAAGTTTTGTATGAACATTAAGTTTTTACTTCTCGGGGCACCTGGGTGGCTCAGTCATTAAGCGTCTGCCTTCGGCTCAGGTCATGATCCCGGGGTCCTGGGATCGAGCCCCACATGGGGCTCCCCGCTCAGCGGGGAGCCTGCTTCTCCCTCTCCCACTCCCCCGCTTGTGTTCCCTCTCTCGCTGTGTCTCTGTCAAATAAATAAAATCTTAAAAAAAAAAATAAGTACCCAACATATTAAAAAAAAAAAAAATTTACTTCTCTGGGACAAATGCCTAGGTGTGTTAACTGCTGGGTAGAATAGCAGATGCATGTTTAGTTGTTTTTAGAAACTGTCAAATGGTATTCCAAAGTGGCTGTACCATTTTTTTTTTTTTAAGATTTTATTTATTTATTTGAGACACAGAGATAGAGAGAGAGAGGAAACACAACCAGGAGCAGTGGGAGAAGCAGGCTTCCCACTGAGCAGGGAGCCCCATGCGGGGCTCGATCCCAGGACCCTGTGATCATGACTTGAGCCAAAGGCATACGCCCAACGACTGAGCCATCCAGGCGCCCGTGACTGTCCCATTTTGCATTTCCATTAGCAATGAATGAATGATCCAGTTTCTCCACATCCTCACCAGCACTTAGTATTATCACTATTTTTTTTTTTATTTTCGGTTGTTCTGTTACGTGTGTAGTGATAGCTCACTGTGTTTTTATTTTTTATTTACTTATTTTTTTTTTTTTAAAGATTTTATTTATTTATTTGACAGAGAGAGACATAGTGAGAGCAGGAACACAAGCAGGGGGAGTGGGAGAGGGAGAAGCAGGCCTCCCGCGGAGCAGGGAGCGCAACGTGGGGTTCGACCCCAGGACCCTGGGATCATGACCCGAGCCAAAGGCAGACGCCCAATGACTGAGCCACCCAGGCGCCCTATTTACTTATTTTTTAAAGATTTTATTTTTAAATAATCTTGACACCCAGCATGGGGCTCGAGCTCACAACCAAGAGTCAAGAGTCAAAAGATCAAGAGTCGCATGCTCCACCAATTGAGCCAGCCAGGCGCCCACACCCATTGTTTTGTTGTTGTTCTTTTTTGGAGCTTATTGTGTTTTTAATGTGCATTTCCCCAATGGCTAATAATGTTGAACATCTCTTCATTCATGTGCTTCTTTGTCAACAGTACATCATTTTTAGTGAAATGTCTATTTGTGTCTTTTACACATTTTCAAGTTGAAAAGTTTGGTTTTCTTTATTATTGAGTTTTTAGAGTTCTTTTTATTTTTTAAAAGATTATTTATTTATTTTTTATTATTATTTTTTAAGATTTTATTTATTTATTTGAGAGAGAGAGAATGAGAGACAGAGAGCACGGGAAGGAAGAGGTCAGAGGGCAGAGGGAGAAGCAGACCCCCCGCTGAGCAGGGAGCCTGATGCGGGACGCGATCTCGGGACTCCAGGATCATGACCTGAGCCGAAGGCAGTCGCTTAACCAACTGAGCCACCCAGGCGCCCTATTTATTTATTTTTGAGAGAGAGAGAGTGTGCGACCATGCACACGGGGAAGCAGAGGGAGAAGCAGACTCCCACTGAGCAGGGAGCCCAATGCAGGACTCAATCCCAGGACCCTGGGATCATGACCTGAGCCCAAGGCAGACGCCTAACCGACTGAGCCACACAGATGCCTGAGAGTTCTTTTTATATTTTAGATATGTGGTTTGCAACCAGTTTCCCCCAGTCTGTAATTTGTCTTTTCATCCTCTTAACGGAGTCTGCTGTGGAGTATATGTTTTTAATTTTAATGAGATGCTTACCAGATTTTGACTTGATAAAACATATGAATCAGGAAATAATTTCCTGAATCGTCTTTGTTCCCTCTCAAAATTCTACTTATTTTCAAGTAAATGCTAAAATAGGACTACTCAATGTGGTCTGT